AGGAGGCATATACCCCTTTTATTCACTTGCCCTGGGCTAGAGCTCAGTCTAGGTGACATCCACCTGCAAGCATGGCAGGGAAATGTAGACTAGCTGTGTGCTGAGGAAGAAGAGGGAGTACAGCCTTTGCCACAAAATCCAAAGCACCCCATTTCACTTTCTGTGACTTGTTCTGTAAATTGTTTTGCAATAAAGAAGATTTAAAAATGAAGCCATGGGCCGGCCAAGTGTCTCAGTTGGTTAAGAGCTCGCTCAAGAGTACGAGCTCAGAGCAACAGCGGTTCCATGCCTGGCCTGAGCTGAGCTGCTGCTGAGCTGCAGGATGGCTCAGCTAAAAAAATAAAAAATAAAAAAATAAAAATAAAAATGAAGCCGTGCAGATTAAAACAGAATTAAGGAATCAGCCACATACTTCTCATTTAACAAATTTTGAGTATCTGTTATTCGCAAAGTATCGTGCTCAGTGTTGTGAGGAATAAGTTGATGAGACATGCTCCCTGCCTTTTAGGGGCTTGTAGTCTAGTAGAGGTTTAGTAGTAACTAGTTCAAGGGAGACCTATCAGAGTCTAATCTCATCAGGGGGCCTAACGGGTGGGAGGTGGAGGCCGGAAGTGGGGCTAGGATGGGACAGATCATCATCCAGGTGAGGAGATCCATGATGGGTAAAGGCCAGATTCCAGGTAATCACCACTTTGAAGTCCGACAGCAAAGATTGGGAACCAGCTGTCTGAGCTGGGAGCTCTAGGAAAGGGGCCCACAGGAGTAGGGATCAGAGAGAGGTCATGCCATAAGAAAGCTGTCACTGAAAAGCAGTGTGGGAATGGGCAAAACTCTGTTTCACAGTGATTTTCATAGTCTCATTTTTTCTGTCCTAACACCTGAGGGATATGACACATTTCTGTTAGTCACTGTGGGAGTCTCCAAGAGACTCCCACTCAAATACCCACTTAGGTATGGAAGAGACTCAGCTGAGCATCTATGGGACCTTACAGAGTTTGGAAAGTCCACGAGTGATTCTGATCTCTCTCCATGCCTTTACCTGTGCACATTCAGGTAAAGGAGCACTCTTTGACTTTGCTCCTTGAAGAATCTCAAGGAGCTTCTAACAATAAGTGCCCTTTAAGAGCGGTGCAGAGTGTACTTGCCGTGTAGAGGGAGGAATACCATGGGGCTTGGGGGACTCGGGGATGGAAGAGGTAGCATTTGAGCATCTTTATTTTGATAAAGTTGTATTTGACCTGCTGGCTTAAAAGTATATTAATAAGAACAGGAGGATGGTTAGAATTTTAGTATAGTTTTTATTTTTATTTTGCAAGAATATTAATGATATTAAACCTTATGCATCTTTTAGGAGACACCCAGAATGCTGTGGCCGACATGTAATTCTTCTAACATTTCAGCTGACAGGTTTTGTCTGCTTCAACGTGGGTGTCATGAAGTACTTTCATTTATATTGTCTCATTTGAACCTCATAACCACTCTGTGAATTCAGTGTGGCAGGTTTTTATAATCCCCATTTTTAATGATAAGGAATCAAAGCTTTTGGTGATTCATACACCTTCCAAGTGGAGGAGACCTTCTGACTCCAAATATGAATACACTATGCAGTCTTTCAGTTAAATGACTTGTTTAATCCAAGAGAGTGGCAGGGCTTCTGGCTTCCAGCTCAGTGAATTACAGCACTTCATCTCTCAGAGGTCTGAGAGGCAGATAAAACATAGTCCAGTTTTTCTGACATCCTACTAAAGTCAGAAAAGTAATTTTTGATATGTAAGTACAGTAAGAGTGTTATCCCAGTTGAGCAGTCATGGCTCAGGTGACGCCATTCCCAATGGACAACATAGGCGGCTATGTTAGTCCCCAGAAGGCAGATCCCCCAGTCTAGGCGCCCTTGCCCCCCAGCTGTTAGCCTTTGCTCCATCCATGATGGCTTCATGCCAGAATACACTGGAATATACAAGGACTCTGGAAGCAGAACACAGTTCTTCCACTCACTCTCCTTACCTCTTTCTTTTGTTCCTGTGCCTTTGTTAGAATTCTGCAAACATTTAATCTTTTCAACAAGCATTTAATATTCTGACATGTTTTACAAAATCGATACACAAATAAAAGTCTGCCCGTGTCCATGTTAATCTACTTTTGCAAAACAATTTCTTTTGGGTATTTTTGATGTTCTCTTGTCTGTCAGGTGCGGTAGGTACTTTTATGGTGACCCCCCAGGTGGTCCACCTTTGCCAAGTTCCACATGAAAGCCGTCCTCCAGCAAATTCCTAGTGGCCTAGGGCTTAGGTTCCTCTAGTCTACCACCCAGCCTTACCACTCTGACCTTGCTCTCTTCTCATCCTTCTTCACTCTTTCAGTGTTTGTAGAACATGTACTATGTGTCTGGCACCATGCTACATTCAGAGGGTACAGCAGTGGAAAAGACCGAATACTTCCTTACCCTAGAGCAGGGGTCGGCAAACTTTTGAGACGGAAGAGCCAATCCTGCCCCTCACAACAATTTAAAAATTCTTCGAGAGCCATAAAACAAATGAAATCACCATTATGTGAATAATATCCTTTAAAATTTTTATAAATGAAACTATGATAGTTTTATTTTCATTTTCAATTTTACTTAAGAGCCACGTGTACGTACCCAAAGAGCCGCATGTGGCTCGCAAGCCGCAGTTTGCCAACCCCTGCCCTAGAGCATGCTTTGACTCTTAGCCATGTGATTAAGACATGGCTGCCTAGTTGATGGTCATTATCAGTGCCTCTGTGTTTTTACTAGGCATCATTCTAATAGTTGGCTGGGGAGGGCTGTGGATAAAGCCATTCTTACATACTTTTTACAGAAAAAGTTCCAAGATGCATTGCATATGTGTGAGTACCTCCTATACAAATCTGCTGGCATCCTCTGTCTTGCGTATTTCCAAAAGCTGAATTTAAGGCCATATTGTAGATTTGGGTGGGCATCTAAACACTTAAGACAGAATCCTGGGTACAACTGCTGCTATAATACGTTGCTGTGGGAGAATATGAAATTTCCTCCCCTGAAGATCCTGAAAAGAGGCTTCCATTCTCTTCTATTTGGGAGCCTTGCTCCGATCCTGTGCCCAATACTGAGATCCTCTGGAGGTTAAGAGGTATACAATGTGGTCTTCCCCAGGAATTTATAGTGGCTTCTATTAGTCACTGCATTCTGCTTCTGAGACTTGGAGAAGCTGGTAAGGGGATGACTGAATTTATTTTTGAAAAGCTATAACCAGCTCTTAAATGTTTATAGTTATTATGGGAACATAAGTGGCCTGCCTAAGTAAAGGAAGTGATGCCAGACTTCAATTTATCTGTTAGTGGCAACTTCTTTTTGAATGAGTACCTCATGATCAGGACTTCTAGAAAGTATAATAAGTAAAAAAGTCTTTTGAGGACCTTATTTTAGGATCCTCTCTTAAATTCTAAAGAAGAAATAGTAAGGAACTCTGAAATGACCAAAAAGTTGATGAGAATTTAGGGAAGAAGAAAAGGGCTGGCTGGGGTGGTCCACAGTCACTGTAGTCCTGAACACGAAGTATTACTGGCTGGCTTGTAGAATTGGTGGTAACTAACAAGTGTCCCATTTCTTCTGCCTGTCGGTACAAAACAGTGAGACGGTTTAAACGGAAGCATCTTACAGCCATCGACTGCCAACATTTAGCTCGGAGTCACTTGGCTGTCACCCAGCCCTTCAGTCAAAGATGGACAAACAGAGACCCAAACCACGGTCTCTATCCTAGACCCAGAACAAAAAGAGGGACTAGGGGTATGTCTTTCAAAAAACTACCTTGCATTTCAGATTCTGTGGTGTGTGTGGTCTTTGAATACCTCCCCGTATTTGTAAGTACTGCTGCTGTGATTCTATAGTCCTGTTGCAACAGTTTGACACTTTTTTCATTATTTGAGAGTTTTCCATGAAAATCCCATCTATAATGGTTGGTAAAAGCCCCAGGAAAACGTGCCCGAATGAATTCCATTAGCTTGATTAATTATAACGTGGTAGAAAACACATACCAATATCACCACTCTTCCAATCTACTGGGTTGTTGGAAAAGTCATGACGCATTTTTGCAACTAAGTGGTTATATTTTGTTTGTGTGTGTAAATCAGCTTCGCTGTGTTGTGAGTTTTTTACTGACAAAGACTGTCAGCGTGTGTATGTTTCAGCGGGGAGTCCTGGCACTGACCTTTAGAAGGCTCTTCATAGATACTGGTTTGATGAATTCCACAATCATTATAGAAAAGAACAGGATTTAACCCAGACCTGTTGACATCAAAACTCTGGGTTTCTATTAAATTTCCTCAGAAGTAGTTATAGTTTTTTTCCTAATTTAATAGAAAAAATATTAAATTCCATAGATTCTATTAAAGGCTAAACCTAATTTTGTTCCACTTTCGTATTTTCCAAAATAAGAATTCTGGCTACACTCATTTCAGGAAGGAACCATGTATTTCGATGTATATTGATAAGGCATTTAAATACTTTATTGGCCTTTTACAGTAATTTATAGGAGTTTACGATGCAGTGGTGATGTGTGAAATCACCATTTGATTCCCCTAAGTGCCTGAAAAGTCTGCGATGTCAGGGACTATATATACACCGTTTTTCACTTTATTTTTGTCTCAGAATCATAGGTGCTTATTAGCAAATGCCTACTGAATAAGTGTGTAGACTAGATTAAGTACCACTCTAATAATATGAAAAATATTCTGACTCCTTTTTATTTTAAAATAAGTCAATGTGTCAGCTTCACAGGAGGAAATGAAAATAAATTAAAAGGATTTTAACTCAGTCATGTGAGAGAGTGGGTTTTACTGAATCCTGATAACCTAAAGCATTTTCCTTTCTACTTAAGCAGACTTAGAATTTTTATTGTAAGAGTAAGTCAGGAGGCCTGAATTTTTGTAAGTGGATGTGTGAATGTGAGCAGTTGTTTGCTCTTTGTCCATTTATGTATTCAGTTTGTATATATTGCAAGGTATAATGTGGTCCTCTCACCATCTGCAGACTGGTCTGTGTCTCTTTCCACATGTGTGTCTGACTATATGATAGAGCCAAATATAAATGTATTTTGGGTTTAGCTCTTTATATAATCAGTTGGCCAGTAACTATATCCTTGTGTCTTTCCTCTATTAATATAGGTAATTGAAAATTAGTTTGTCTCATTGGGGCCCGCAGTGGGTCAGCAGTCACTGTCCTTTTCTCGTTCATTCTGTTTGTGTTCTCTGTACAGGTCAAGGATGTCAAAGATACATAACTGAATTCTACCTAGCTGGCCACCAGCGGTGCACCAATGACATGGCCAAAAGCAATTCTGTGGGCCAGGACAGCTCTAAGGACTCGGAGGGTGAAATGATCTTTGCTGCAGAGAGCAATTGCGCCCTGCCCCAGGAAGGTGATGGAGAAGCAAGACTGGGTTCATCAGGCTCTGCTCTGCCTGACAGGAAGCGCTCTCGGTCCTTTGAGGACGAGAGGAATCAAGCTACAGGGACCAGTCAGTGGGATGGGGTTTCCAAGAAAACCCCACGGCGTTGTTTGTCCCCATCCTACACAAAGCCCAGGGGAGCTAGGCAAGAAGCAGAGGGCTGTCTGTCATGGCTCTCTGCAGAGTCTGAAGATTTCAGCCAAGAAGTGGAGGACATGGGTCCTGATCCCATTCCTGACTCTTACTATGGGCTTCTTGGGACCTTGCCCTGCCAGGAACCCCAGAGCCACATCTGTAGCCTGCCCAGCGAAGTCCTGAGGCACATCTTTGCTTTCCTCCCCGTGGAAGATCTCTATTGGAACGTGAGCTTGGTGTGCCACCTTTGGAGGGACATAATCAGTGACCCACTGGTACGTAAAGCGCTCTAGTTCTATGTTTTCTCTAAAAGTACAGAGGTTAGCTTCACTTAATGCATACTTCTGATTATAGTGTTTCTTCCGAAATGGTACTTTCCATTTGCCTCCAGAATAATACCCAGGTTCCCTGGAGGCAGGTAAGGCCTTCCATGTTTGTCCTACCTTATTACCCCAGCCTCATTGCTCACTTCTCAACACATCCCTGTGTGTTCTCTTCATGACAGATGATTGCTGCATCCCAACCATATTCTGCATATTCCTTTCCACATGTTGGTCTAACCACCCCACCCACACCCCTCCATAAAGGGCCCCTCATATCTCTGCTGACATCTTACCTCTTCTTCAAGGCTTGACGCTACTCCTTCCCATTGAAATTGCTCACTCTCTCTTTCTCGTGCTGCTGCAGGAATGTTTACCTCTGTTACAATCTTATTACCTTCTGTGTTATGGTTTAGAGAGCTTTCTTCCCTGCTTTAAATTATTAGCTCATTGATAGAAGGTTGGTTGTCCTATAAATGTTTTTGCATTCTCCACTGTGCCTCACGATATTTTATATATAGCAGGTAAATTATAAATGAGTGTGATGTTGAATCATCCTGGAGTACCTTGAGGTTGATAAAGTGGGCAGCCCATGCTCTCAGAAAAGAATTCTCAGTGCTACAGTTAGTCATATCATTGCTCTGTCACTCCTCCCTTCTCTTTGTTGTTCAATTGCACTTCATCCCATCCCAGGTTCAGGTTCTCAGGTAAACCTGAGGGTTAGGAAAATGTTTTGCTTAGCTTATACCAGGGTGCCAAAAAAAAAAAAAATGTACATGCATGACTTGTATTCATCTTTTGTTATTGATATATATTGAATATTACAATTTTAATACTATTTTTCTCCTTTCTTAAAATGTGTATATGTTTTTTTTGGCGCCCTCTGCATATCCCTTCGACTAGCCATTAGGAATAAATCAGAGTTACAGAGATTAACTCTCCCTTCAATTATATTAAAGTTCAAAAATTTAGGGATGGAGTATAAGATGGATATATCAAGACTTAGTACATTTTTCTTTTAAGCATAAAAGATTTTGGAGGAAATTTCACATCACTCTTGCTCTATTCTTTGCTTGGGGTCTTGTCTCCTACTTTCTGAGAAATATCTTTCTGCTTTTAGATGGGAACTCTGTTTTGTGTCGTATTTCTGCCCACCAAATTGAGATCTCTTTGATGTGAACTGAATAGTCATAGATGGGGATAAGTAAGGGTTCTCTCCATTCTGCTTAAGAAGATTTTGGGGGAGATATTCCAGCTTATACTTACTTCTTGAAATGTTAGAATAATGCGATTTTTATCATCACCAGCAATGACATGATGTGTTTGTCAGTAACCTATTATAGCTCTCATTTTTTTTTCATTTTTTAATTTATTTTTAAAGATTTTATTGGGGAATTGGGTGAGGGGAACAGCATTGGGGAATCGGGGAAGGGGAACAGACAAGTTGCTGTCCTTTTTGTTCTTCAGTCTAATAGTGAAGGACATTGCTTCACTGGCCTATGTTGGTATTGTGATCATTGTGCTCTTCCCCGGTGAGGCAGTTGCTCGCTGGCCATTGGACGGCTGCTCACAGTGGCTCACGGCAGCTCATGCCTGCTGCTGGGTGCTCACGCTGGCTGCTGGCCACTCACGGTAGCTTACAGCAGCCCACTGCAGCAGGGGCTGCAGCCTGTGCTGTTGCCAGCAACTCACGGCAGCCCAGTTCCAGGTCGAGCTGTTGTTCACCATCTTAGCTGTAGAGGGCAGTGTCACTGGCTCCCATGTGGGATCCGAACTGGGGCCCTGCTACTCAGAGCTGGCACTCCCAAGCCAACTCTTAACCAACGTGCCACTTGGCGGGCCCTTTTTCATTTCTTATGGTGTCTTTTTCTGGCATTGGTATAAGTTTATGCTGGTCTCATAGAATAAGCCTGGAAATATTCCCCCTTAAGTTTTTTCAAAGAGTCTGAGGAGCTTTGATATTAATCCTTCCTTAAATATTCAGTAG